CAAACAAGAAAAACGATTAAAAAAAAAAAAATCTATATTACTTCAATAATTAAATGTAATTAACCCCCCTGTTAAAAAGGTTCATGGAGATTTTTAATCCCTTTTTTTTTTTTAATAGTTTGTAATTTAAGATCGTTATTTAATATTTTTCCTGAAACAAAAAAAATTTTCCTCCCCACTTTTTTCTTTTTCCTTTTTTCTTCCTAGTTTTCCTTTTGAAAAATACTTTTTTAAACGAATATTAAAGACCCCGAAAGTTTATTTTATAAATAAATAATTTTTTTTCATGTTTTGGAACATGTAAAAATCAATTTTGCGTTGTTTGAACAAAAAAAAAAAAAGGAAAACAAAATTGGAAAATGTGATGATGAAATATACGATTTTTTCATATACCTTTTTCAACCACAATCGTGTATATACATAAATGAATTTGTATATATCTCTCTCTCTCTCTTTCTCTTTCTCACTTACTATCTACTCCTTTTCTTATTTCTCTCTCTCTCTTTCTCTCTAGCTTTTTTTTACCATTTTCTCTCCCTAATTTTCTTTTACCATTCTCTCTTTCTCTCTCGCTTTTTTTTTTTACATTCTTTATGTTTTTCTTTCTTACTTCCCACTTCCTCTTTTTCATTTCTCTCTCTCGCTTTCTTTTACCATTCTCTCTCCCTCTCTCTCTCTCTCACTTTTTTAAACATTCTTTCTCTTTCTGTTTCTCTCTCTTTCTGGTTTTTTTTTTTTTAACCATTTTTTCTATTTCTGTTTCTCTCTATTGCTCTTTCTTACTTCCTATTTTTTCTTTTTTATTTCTCTTTTTCTTTCTTTCTCGCTTTTTTTTACTATTCTCTTTCTTTCTCTCGCTTTTTTCCCATTCTCTTTCTCTATTTCTCGCTTTTTTCACCATTTTTCTTGTTTCTCTTTCTCTCGCTTTTTTTTTTTACCATTCTTTCTCTTTCTCTATCTTTTTGTTTTTTTTAAAACCATTTTTTCTATTTCTGTTTCTCTCTCTCTCGCTTTTTTTTTTTACCATTCTTTCCCTTTCTGTTCCTCTCACCTTCTTTTACCATTTTTTCTTGCCCTTTATCTCTCTCTCTTTCTCTTTCTGTGTCTCCAGTTTTTTTTCTATTTTATTACAGTTAAGCAAAAAATATTAATAATAATAATAATAATAATAATAATAATAATAGTTTTTTTGTATTAATCGAACAAACATTTCCGGAACTCTCTTATACGTTCTGCGTATATATATATATATATATATATATTTTTTTTTTTAAAAAAGCAAAAATAATAAGAAATCATTTTTTATGAAAAATGTTTTTATTTCCCCCTTTCCCCCACGCTTTTTTCTACATTCTTTCTCTCTCTCACTCATTCTCTTCTACCACATTCCCGCGCGTTTATCTTTTTCCATAGAATAAAAAAAAAAAAAAAAAAAAAAATCGGGAACCGAATTGTCATTTTTTATTTTCTTTTTTTTCATTTCGTTTATGCCCGACGACTCGAAGTCGTTTTTTTTTTTTTTTTTTTTTTTTTTTTTGTTTTTTTTTGTTTTTTTTTTTTCAATTTATTCTACGCTGCGTTAGCAGCATTCGAATAAGAAAAAGAAGAAGAAGAGGAGGAAGAAGAGAAAGAAATGGAAAAGATAAATCGATTCAACCTGTATACCCCGAAAGAAAAAATGAAAAAATGAAATTGTTTTGTTTACCTTCGGCCTCTTTCTGTTACGAACAAAACCTTTTTTTCAATTTTTTTTTTTTTTTTTTTCTGAGGTTAAACTTTGTCGTTTTAAAATGTGTCACTTACAGCCTTCTTGTTTTTTTTTTTTTTTCTTATTTTGTTATTATTTTTTTTTTTTCTTTATTTCCCCTTCCGTTCTTTCATTTATTTTTTTTTTCTTGCACCAACTTCCGCCACCCCTCTCCATCCCTCAACCCCCTTCATCTTATCCAACCGGACAGAATTTCGAAATTTTTTTTCTTCTTATTCCACGCCCATCACCACCACCACCATCAGTTAAATTTTTTCAATTTCCTTATTTCACGTTTCGGTTTGTTTAACTTTTTTTTCATTTCTTTTGTTCGGAGGCATAATTGATATGTTTGTCGTTGTCGTTGTTTGTTTTCTGTATTAAACAACGATGATGATGATGATGATGATAACGATAGTAAAAGCCCTTACCTTTCGTTGTTTCGAATCTTTATAGGAAGACCATTTGTTTAATGAATTTCTCCAGTATTCAATTAAAAATGATTCGGCGTATTCTTGTCCCTGACCGTTACCGAACCTTCCCTGCGTTTCCGTCCACGTGATCAAATGATCTCGAACCAAATCGACTTCGAGATACTCGCGGATTTCGCTACTGATCTGTGCTTTCGGACACCACGCTCCGCCATTTTTCTCTTGACGAATTCTGAAAAACAACAAAAAAAAAAAACAATTAATAAATGAATAAATAAATTTAATTTATCCCCAAGTACTTCCGTTTCCTCTCTCCTCCCATTCCCCTTCCCTCCTCCTCCTCCCCAGATTCCCCCCCACCCCTACAAAAAAAAAAAAAGAAAAAACGGTTTTAAAAAAAAAACTTTTCATCATTTATTTATTTATTTACTTAATTTTCGAATAAAATAAAAAAATTCGATTCCGCCATTTTTATCATTATTATTTTCTTTCGTTATTAAAGAAGAAACCTCCCTCCCATCCCCCACCCCCACAGAAAAAAAAGAAAAAAATTTTTTTTAAATAAATAAAAATTATGAAATGAATGGTTGGTTCAAAAAACTTGGTAATTATTCAGTTCGTGACTTTATTAAAGCCACGATTAAAATTATTTATTTATTCTATGGCGTAACGGAAATGCTTCGAAAAAGAAAAAGAAAAAAAAAACTTTTTTTTTCTCTTTCTCTCTCTTTCTCTTTTGTTATATTTTTCGGTTCGTCAACTTAATAATAATAATAATAATAATAATTTTATATTTCATTATTATCATTATAATGTTTTATCATTTTTATTATTTATTATTATTATTATTATCATTTTTCGAAATTTTAAAACGACGACCGGAGCTGGAGGAAAAGAACGACAAGGACAACGACAACAACATCGAAAATAGGTTTTTCTTTTCTTTTTTTTTTTTTTTTTCGTTTCCTTTTTTCAACGTTTTTTTCCATTTTCCATTTTCTTTTTTCTTTTCTTTATAATCGGTTTTTGTGATCGTTTGCAAGATAATAAATATATTTTCCATTATGCATGATCAATAAAGTTAAAAAAAGAAAAATATTAAAAAGTGAACGAAAGTTTAAAAAAAAAAAAAAAAAGGAACAAAATCTTATCATCTTTTTTTCTTTTTTTTTGGGAGGGGAAGGGGGAGGGGGAGGGAGAAAACCTTTTTCCTTTAGGGGATAATTGTTCAAAAAAAAAAGAATTTTTTTTTTTTTTTTTTTTTTACATCAGCGGTTTTTTCCAGTAATTTTTTTTTTATTTTTATTTTTAATGCCCCTTTTCTTCCTCTTTCTCTCTTTCTATCTATCCATCTCTTTGTCTCTCTCTCTCTCTCTCTTTCTCTTTCTCTCTCTATTTCTCTCTCTCTCTCTTTCTATCTATCCATCTCCCTTTTCCGGAAATCTTTGTCGCAAAGAATGATTTTTTTTTCGCGATTCACTTTTCACGAAAAAGAAAAATTATTCAAAAAAAAAAATTATTCCCGCCTTTTTCAAACGACCGGAAACACACGAAAAAATTTTTCCTCTTCCCTCCTCCCTCCTCCCCGGAAATGATTAAAATAATTTTTATTTGATCGGGGAAATTCGAACGAAACCGTTACACAAAATAAAATAAAAAATTTTTTTTTTTTTATGTTACCTCCCTCCCCCCGTTTTTCTCTCCAACGCGACGTTTGTTACTATTATTATTACTTTAAATACGTTTCCGACGGGAAACTTTTGTTAGTTACCAACCTGACGGGAGAAAGAGAGAGAGAGAGAGAGAGAGAGAGAGAGAGAAAAAAAAAACTTTAATTTAACTTTTTAGTTATCTCGTTAATTCTTTTTTTTTTTTTTAATGATAATTAAAGAAATTATCTAGTAGATAAATTCATCTATTATTTACACACGCGCACACGCGTACACGCACACACACACACACACGTGTTTCTATGTTTTATTTAACTCTAAAAAAAAAAAAATATTAAAAATTAAAAACAAACAAACAAACAAATGAAAATAAAAATAAATAAAATAAAAAAATTTTTTATTATTATTATTTTCTTCTTATTCTTATTTATTAATTATTTAATTTCTTAAACAAAATAATAATAATAACAACAATGATAATAATGATAATAATAAAAGAATTAACAAAGACGAAAATGAAAAATACAAACGGAGAAAAGGGCAAAAAAATAAAAAAATAAAAATAGAAACAAACGAGAAAACAAATAAACGAACAAACAAACAAAAGCGACGTCGAATTTTTTCTTTTTTATTTATTTACCTTTTAAATTTATTCAATCCAATTTTTTTTTATTTTTATTTTTTATTACGTCTACTGTAAAAAAGAATCGGAGAAAAAGGAAAAAGAGGAAGGTAAAGAGAGTGAGAGAGAGAGGAGTGAGGGGGCGGGAGGAAGACAGAAGGGGAAGGAAGGAAAAATGGAGAAATGAAGAGGGGATAGGGAAAAAGCGGTGGTAAGGATACCGATAAAATGAGGGGAAATGGAGAGGGAGAGGGGAAAAAGGAGAGTGATGTGAAAGAAGGGGTAAGAGAAGAGGAAAAGTAAGAAGGAGGGGAGTGGCGAAGAGTGACGTCACAATAGAAGAGAGGAAGGCGGAGAAAGAGGTACGCTGTAATAGAAAAGGCGAGTGGGAAGAGAAGAGAAGTGAAAAATGAAGGCCGGGAAAGAGTGACGTCACAATAGAAGAGGGAAGTGGGGAGAGGAGAAAATGAGTGGAAGGGGAAGTAAAATTAGGGGAAGTGACGTAGGTAGGAATAAAAAAAAAAAAAAAAAAAATTAAAGAACGGAAATTAAAACGAATGAAAATTACTTAACGTTATTTAGTTTTTTGAGTATAATAATAATAATAATAATAATAATAATAATAACAATAATGATGATGATGATGATAATAGTGATTACATCGTGATTTTATCGTGACGTCACGTTTATTTATTTACTCTATGAATTTTTTAAATGGTTTTTTAAAAGTTTTACACACACACACAACACACGCATCATCGTGCGTGCGTGCGTGCGATGCTCGATTTTTGCACGCGCGTTCAAACAAGTCATTACGTGGGGGTTCGTAAGGGGGGAGAACCCGGTTAATAATAATAATAATAATAATAATAATAAATGCGCGCATCCATCATCTATCTATCTAGCTATGACTTTTTTTTTCGCTTTATAAACATTAAAAATCGATTACAATTTTTTTTTTTTTTTTTTGCTGTATTTCCCAGACTTTTCCAGTCTTCCGTTTGACTTATTCATTAATATTTTTTTCTGTTTGTTTGTTTGTTTGTCGTTTTTTCGTCTTACAAGTAAAAAAAAAAAAAAAAAAAAACTTTTAGTCCCTTTCATTTTTTTTCTTTCTGTTATTTTTGTTTTTTAAAGCAAAAAATAAAAAAAATAAGTTTGTTTATATTTTTCCGGGAATAAAGAAAAGAAAAGAAAACAAAACAAAAAAATAACATCCCGTGGGTTTTAATTTTTTAATTCGAATGTTTTGTCTCTCCCTATCATTCTCCCTATCTCTCTCTCTCTCTCTCTCTGTCTGTCTGTCTGAAAAGGTTCAATTTACCATCCGATTGTTTAGTATTGTTTTCTTTATTGTTTTCAAAAACTATTTATTGAGTTTGTTTCACCCTAAAATTACTAAAAGAAACACACACACTGTACACACACACACACACTGCACGCACAACAAACACACGCACACGCACACACACGCACACGAATTTTATACTAAAGCCATTTGTTATTCCACCCTTTTTACACAACATGAGAAAACTTTTCTTTTACACATTAATTAATTGACCAACGAAATAAAGGGAAAGAAGAAGAAGAAGAAGAATCACGCAATTTTCCCGTTTCACAAATTACTTTAAGTCGCTAAAAAACTTTTCTTCTTATTGAAACCAATTTTGATCCACCATTTTTTTTTTTTTTTTTTTTTTTTTTGAAAAAGTTTTTCCCTTTACAAAATATCGTAAATTTCAAAAAAAAGAAACAAAAACAAAATGAAAATTTTCTTTTGTAAAAGAAAAAAAATTCAAAAGAAAGAGAGAGAGAAAGAGAAAAAATAATTCAAAGGAAAAATGGTTCCGATAATTACAGGTAAGGAAGAAAAAAAAAAAAAGAAAAAAAAATAGATCATTTTTCTTTCCATTTTTTTTTTTTTTTTTTTTTTTTTTTGGGGGGGGTTGGAAAAATAAAAGAAAAATGAATAACAACGAACGGATCTAAAGGAAATCAAAGGAAAAAAAAAAAAATGGAATGAAAAGTTTACAAAGAAGAAATAATGATAATAATAATAAACGTGAAACGTAAAAAGAATTTTCCGTTAATTACGTTTATTATTATTATTTACAACACTAGTGTCACGACATTTTTTTTTTTTTCAAAATAAATTTCCCGCGAAAATATGATAAACAAACAAACAAATTTTGAAAATTTCAATAATTTAAACAATTTATAATTAAATGTAAAATTTTAAGTGTGTGTGCGTGAGTGCGTGTGAGGGTGTTTTCATTTAAACACGACACGTCGTCGTCGTCGTCGTCGTGACGTTAACGCACGCACGTCGAAAAACAAATTTAAGGAACGGGAAAAGGTTAGGGAGACGACAAGAAAAACCAGACGAGAACGAACCTATGATAAAAAAAAAAAAAACAAAAACCCTAAAGGAAAAGAATGAAAATTTTGAAAATGAAACAACGTACAAGCGGGTAACGTACGGGGAAATCCGGGAAAAGATGAAAAGAATCAAAATGGCGGCGGTGGTTGTAGGTGGGGGTAGGGGAGAAGGAGGAAGAGAAAGAGTGGGAGGTAGGAGCGTAAGAATCCGGAAACTTATTCGGAAAATTGTTAAAATATCCTGTCGCTTATACGTAAAATCTCAGGGGTAGTTAAAAATGACACGTATACGAGAGAGAGAGAGAGAGAGAGAGAGAGAGAGAGAGAGAGAGAAAGACAAGACAAGTTTCTAAAAACTTTACCTTATGCTTGCTTATCATTTTCCATCCGATCAAAATTTCATTTTCCCGCCGGAAAACAAACACAAAACAAACAAACAAACAAAAAATAATAATAATAATAATAATAATAATAAGGAGAAATGCGTCTTTTTTTTTCCATCGGGAACGTGCGTGAACGTGATCCTCCCAAAATCCGAAAATTTATCACAGCAAAAAATAATATCCGGAAAACAAAAAAGAAAACGAAAACAAAACAAAAACAAAATCGTTTCATTTCCGGTTAAAAATCAAACATGTCGTCGTTTACGCG